GTGAGGGTGACGAGATACATACCTGGTGCATGAAGAGAGGTCGGATATGGTTTCGACAGTCATGTACATTGGTCTTCAAGAGTCGAAGTATGCCTGTTGCGTTAACCAGCTGTAGAGTAGGATAGTTGAGTAGAGTAGACTGGGCGCTGGGCGCCAGACAGCAGAGAGAGCGACTTTGGATACTGTGTTGGTGTGGCCTACGGGCTTGAACATTGGCTCATTACTTCATTGTATTGCTCTATATGGATGGTTTCTCGGTGCATTTTGTACTCTCTGCTTGGACACGACTACTTGGACAGCTGTGTGATTTCGCAATCTGGTTTTCTGTATATAGTTCACACTCATATTCCTTGCAATTTGGTATCGGAGCTGGTTCGTGATCGCCGCTTACCTGCCACCGGCGACATTGTTACTTGGTGCGCTGATGATGCTTCATGTGCAGTGAGGATACTTTGGCGCTGGTTTGAGATAGTGGGGCCTAGGTGGAGAGGCCGGCCGCTGGAAGGCTGTGGCGACAGCGGATGTATGTATGATGATGAGAGTATGTTGACGTGGCATTTTCGCTGAGGTGGCACTGCATTACGTTGTGGGTGGTACCGAGGCTAATGACCAGTCATCGAAATGCACGTCGGCCCAATCGGTGAGAAATCTGTGGTTGGGGGCAGCTATCTCCAGGTATATTGTTCCCATTCCTTATCTACCCTCTCAATCTCTTCTTACCGTGAGGAAGTGAGTCCAACTTGAGGGTCCTCTCTTTGGTGAGGAGTCGTGTGCGCTCTATCTTGAGAGACCACATTCTTCCCGGTGGCGCATCTGGCAGGAGAGGGCGGTGCCTCTGAAGGGCCCTGGTCGAAGCACGGGTCACGGTCACCATGCCAACCCATGGGAGTAGTACACGCAGGCCATGCTGCTTTGTCCATTGAGGCTCTTTGCTGCTCTAATAGAAGGGGTGTGCGGACTGACCAGTCCTATTGAGACGTTCCCAGACCGTCTATAAACATTTTTGGTTGGGGTCTGAACTGTCCACTGGCTGTGATCGTCGTCCTGATTGCGACGTTAAAGAATTCCTGAGGACTCCAGGGGCTGTCCTTAAATTGCCTCTTGATCAGCCAGATCAGCCTGACGTAAGGCTCGTTGCACGCGAGGGTAAATAAAGGGCAGGCTAGTCATAAGCATACTTCTTGGGCACAGGGGTGGGTTGTGGTTGCACACCTTAGACACCGCAGCTTGAAGATGCTCATAGGTACATTGGATACATGGGAAGGGGGATTCCAATTGTGAACTTTACTGAACATCACTACAACATCCGTTGTGCATACATCTGCTCACATTAGTCTAGCTTTTATTTTTGATTAGTTGGTTGACCGACTGCGGACACCTAACAGACAGACTAGAGTAGGACTGTAATCTACCATAGTCAGTTCTTCTCGAATATTCTGTGCAGATTAATCAGAATAGAGTTAGACTATGTGTATGGTTTGTGTAGGTTCTGTTGATGCTGCTTGACTAGTAGTCTAGGTAAACCCGCCGGACATTTATTTATTTATTTATTTTTAGATCCGGTCAGACGCATGCTGCGGTAGGTCTCATAGAGGACACTAGTGCAGACAGCATCTGCCTAGCCCATGAGTGGATCAGAGGGTGTTGAAGGTACCGCTGATGATAGGAGGCAGACACGACAGGATACTGCCAGGATATCTGTTGTGTTCCAGGTTCTACTACCAGGAGACGAGAGAAGGCTAAGGGTCGAGACAAGCGACCACAATCTAGAGACTGCGAGAACAGCAGCAGCAGCTAGTGCGGTAGCAATGGCTACCATTTCAGCCAGCTCTGGTGCAAACTCTACTGGTTAGAGTTTGGGAATGCCAACCAACGCGACCAGTTCACAGTCCCTCTCCAGTACGTCGGGACCCGGTACTAGTCAGATGGCGGGCTTGCAGTTCAGCTGGCCACCTCCACGCACCTAGGAGCAGATGGAGCTCCACCAAGTTGAGAGGATCCGCTTAAGGCTAGAGGAGGAACTTAGGCAGGCTACTAAAAGAGAGAAGGAGATTAAAGAAAGAGGTGTCAGACTAGAGAGCAGGGATGCACACTTCGCTGCGCTAAAGGCATTAGAGGACGCAAACCTTAATAATACAGGAAAAATTCTAAAGGCAAAGTGTCTTATCCATGCATGCGTACATAGATAGTAAGATGAACGTTATGCAGGATACCATAGACCAGATCCTGCAAATGCTACATAGGTCAGGGATCCGGCCAGCAACTCTACCATCGCTGCCATTCTCAACGATGACAGACCCCTATGTCGCTCAGTCTGGACCACCACCAAGTAGTACATCAGCAGCAACTTTATCACAGACTGTTGCTTCTTCATCTTCTGGTCCAGCGACTGGTGCTACACCACAGTCGCCACCTGTCCCGCCAATTGGACAACAATACCCCTGGTACCCCAAGACACCTCTGAAACCACCTCCTACCTTCTCAGGAGACAAGAAGGATGAGGATCTCGACACGTGGTTGAGAACGGTTCCAGTATGGGTTAGGGCCAAGAGGACATTGGTAGAAGAGGAAGTGATAAGTGTTGCATCCTACTTAGAGGGTTCAACAACTCGCTGGCTTAATGGATTACTTGCTTCAAAGAGGTTCGGCAGGAACATGGGTGATTGGGCGCAGACCCACACCCTGGAGAGCTTTATGGACTTAGTGGAGACTCGTTGGCACAACCCTCAGCTGGCACAAATTGCTACTGATGGGATTCTGAAGCTTAATGCCAGAAAGTACAAGTCAGTGCGAGAGTTCACCACAGTCGTAGAGCGTTTGATCGTCGTTCCACATGTCTTGATGACCACATTCTTGAGATGTCTTTCCACAGACATCAAGAACTTATTAGCCAGCGAGGCTCGCAAAGAGTATCACATGTTTGAGACATTCAGCAAGAAGGCCCTAGACTTAGAGGCTACGTTGGGTGGTGCTCATACCCCTTCTGATGATGGAAGAAAGAAGAAGACTCCATAAGAGTGGCAGAAGAAGGGTAGTCGATTGATGATGGCTGATTCCGAAGGGAATCAAACTGAGATCGATGATGTTTCTGAGCTTGTGGGGGGGACAGAGTTAGACGGCGAGGAGAGTGCTGAGGGTAGTAACCTCGCCGCGGTAGTGAAGACTAAGGAAGAAGGCCGCGAGAAGGGCGGTCAACAAAGGAGTCAGGGGCAAGCCGTCAACCCAAACAAAATTGTTGCTTGGGTAAGGGCAGGTTTGGATCAGGATGTGTGGCGGGACCGTTGGTCGCGAGGTGCTTGAATAAACTATGGCAAGTACGACCATATACAGTTTAAGTGCAAGAATCTGAAGGTCTCGCAGAAGATCCCTCCTAAGGGTGGGTTTCCTTCTTCTCAGTCTTGGGCTTCTACGAGCTCCAGCTCGGGAAACACTGGCACTTATGGTCAATAGAAGTTGTAGCTGCTTCTACTCTCGTTGAAGCGGGTGATGTACCCTCCCCGTTTCAAGAGATGGCCAAAGCTATTGACTCCTTAGTCACCCAACAGACGCATCCGAACCCAACTATGCTCTGTACGTTGGATGTGTTTGAGGCCTTAGAGGACCTTCAAGGTGAGTGGTCGGCAAGGAACCCTCGTGAGTCCTGGATGGCACTGAGTAAAGGTCCTAGAGGGGTGCATTTCGTTGTGGAAGCTGGTGTGGGTGATCGCAAGTGCGGCACCTTCGTAGACATTGGCTCCGCGCGAAACTTCAAAAGTCGTGGCTGCGTTGAGAGACTGCGTCTCAAGGACCAGGTGCAGCGCCTTAGTAGACCGGTAGCATCTACTTTGGCCAACAAAGAGCGCATGTTAGGGGAGGACTACGTTAAAGATGTAGTCTGCACTTTCTCCTACCCAGGAGGAGAATTAACCCATAAGATATTTTTTTTGGTGAGCGATGAGTTGCCCTTTGACATGTTGTTGGGCATGTACTACCTCGAGGTTGCCAAGCCCCAGTTGAACTGGGACAAGAAGGTGTTAAAGCATGAGTTGCCTAGTGGGAGGACCGTTAGACTGGCTAAGTATAAAGCCAGTAGGTTTCTAGACTCCTATGGGTGCTTACGTGCATCTGCCTTCTACAATTATTATAAACAGAACCAAGAGGAAGGAATGTACTTAGTCTATGTCTCTGCAAAAGGGGAGGCCGTTAAAACACCCCAGAGATAGCGACCATCGTCGCCAAGTACCCTGATCTGTTTGAGGAGCCTACAAAAGTCGTAGATAGGGAGGTTATCCATGCCATAGAGATCATCCCAGGTAGTAAAACACCTAAGGGAAGAATCTATAGGATGGCTCCGGCCGAGTTGGACGAGCTTCGACGGCAACTGAAAGAGCTCACAGAGAAGGGTTGGATTCGGCCTAGCACTTCTCCCTTTGGCTCACCAGTATTGTTCGTTCCAAAGAAAAGGGGGAACACTAACTTAAAGGATGTGCATTGATTATAGAGGCCTCAATGCCATCACCGTTAAGAATGTAGAGCCTCTACCGCACATCTACGACCTATTGGATAGGGTGCAGGGGTGTAAGTACTACACAAAGATAGACTTAAAATCCGGCTACCATCAGATTGCCATACGACTAGAGGACCAGCACAAAACCACATTTCAGACCAAGTACGGTCTGTACGAGTTTGTGGTGATGCCCTTTGGCCTTTGCAATGCGTCGGGTACATTCCAACACGCCATAAATACGATCTTCCATTACTACTTGGATAAGTTTGTCGTCGTGTACCTCGACGACATACTTATCTTACGACGCATAAGTATAAGATAAATGAGAGAAATGCGAGTTTGGTCGCACTCGAATCTTGTACCTGAGTCATGTAGTATCCGCGGATGGGATTAGGCCCGAAGATGCAAAGGTGGCTAGCATACGTGACTGGCCACGACCCCAGTCTGTGACTGAGGTCAGATCATTCTTGGGAATATGTGGTTATTACCGGAATTTCGTAAAGAATTATAGCACGATCGCATCTCCCTTGACTGATCTAACTCGACTTGACACCCCATGGGACTGGACCGACGAGTGTGAGGCAACTTTCAAACGTTTGAAACATGCTCTCACGCACCACGAGGTTCTCATGGTACCCGACCCGCAAAGGTCATTTGTTGTAACCACTGATGCAAGCCAATATGGGATTGGCTCAGTGCTGGCTCAGCAGGAAGGGAAGAAGTTGAGACCGGTTGAGTACATGAGCAAAAAGATGTCATCAAAGAAGTTGGCAAAGTCCATCTACGAGAGGGAACTCTACGCTCTTTACAAGGCACTTGTCCACTGGAGACACTATCTGTTAGGAAGGTTCTTCTACTTGAGAACTGACCATCAGACCCTCAAGTGGATCAAGACTCAGCCAGTTCTCTCCGATGCACTCAAACGCTGGATTGAAGTTATAGATCAATATGACTTCAAACTAGACTACGTGAAGGGAGAGTACAATAAGGTTGCAGATGCATTGTCTAGGAGGGAAGATTACCTAGGTGCGCTGATTTATGAGTTTGGTTTTTCTGAGGATGTGACTCAATCATTGGGGAAAGCCTACAGGGAAGATCTCATCACGATGGACATCATTAACAAACTTCAGGCCAAAGACAAGGCCACCTCTGACGAGTTTGTGATGGTGGATTCCTTGAGAAGGCAGGGTTCAAGAGGTTAGTTGTTCCATCTTGGGAAATTTTGCGTAGTTTATTTTTAGGTGAGTGCCACGACGCAACTGGACATTTTGGCTACAAGAAGACCAGTGCTAACTTAGTACAGCGATTCTGGTGGCCTAACATGCTAGACGATGCAAAGAAGTACGTACAAACCTGTCAGGTCTGTCAGCGGGATAAGCCGAGGACTCACGCTCCGCTTGGGTTACTCAAGCCTCTACCCATTCTTGCTGGCCCAGAGCAGATTACCTCCATGGATTTCATGGACACTCTCGTGACCAGCAAGAATGGCAAGAGGCACATCTTCGTTATAGTGGATAGGTTCACTAAGTATGCTAGACTAATTGCCATGTCGGAGACTGCTAGGACTGAGCACGTCATTAAGTTGTTCATGGAGAACTGGGTGCGTGACTTTGGACTGCCAAAGACCATCGTTAGTGATAGAGATGTCCGGTTCACCAGTGAGATGTGGAAGAAGGCCGCTGAACAAATGGGCAACCAGCTTCAGATGACTTCTGGGAATCATCCCGAAGCCAATGGGCATGCTGAACAGATGAACCGAGTGGTGCAGCATCTGCTGAGGCATTACATCAAGCCCAGCCAGGATGATTAGGATGAGAAGTTACCTCTCATCGCCAGTCTGTACAACAACGCCGTGCACAACACCACTGGCGTCAGTCCTAATCAACTGCATCTGGGATGAAACCCTAAATCTGCTCTAGACTTCCTCCTACCTGAAAACCGAACTGCTGCAACTCCTGGAACCATTGAATTTGGGGTCCTGTATGAGAAGTTGTTGCAGCAGACTGTCGAACGCATCAAGAAGTCTCAGAGCTATGATTGCTTCTGAGAACAAACATCGCCGACAGTCCACATTTCAGGTAGGGGAACGAGTCTAGGTCAAGGCTAGTGAGTTGGGCCAGGAGTTTGGCATCTCTAGGAAACTAATGCCTCAGTACTTCGGTCCCTGGGAAGTCGTAGATATAGTGGGGAATGATCTGGATGGTCCCTCGTACGTCATTCGTATCCCTGGTCACCTACGCACTTACCCTGTTTTTCACGCCTCCAAGCTAGCACCTTTTGTTAAGACAGCACAGTTCCCATCACGGAGATCTATGCTGCCACCAACCATGGATGGCCACGTGGACGTCGACGACATCCTGGATCACAGAGATATGCCTGTTCCCAAGCCACCTGGCAGAGGAAGACCTCCGAAACCTGCAAGGGAGTACATACTTCATTTCAGGCATCATACGGATCCGAAAGAAGATCGATGGATTTCAAGGGAGGAACTAATTAAGACAGCTCCTCAGATCATGGCAGAGTATGAGAAGAGACTAAAGGGGAAGGCTCCAACATGAAGCATCTCAGCGGACTTTCGAAGCTAAGGGGGATGGAATGTGAGGAACGAGCCCTCAAGGGGGCCCTATCAGACATCACATGTTCTGGGCTAAGGGCCCCAGCAAGCCAAGTGCCCGCCCTAAGTGAAGGCGGGCCTGAATATTCATCACAGGCAGGGTTGCACATGCCGACCGTCGGCGGGCCTCGGTCGGTCGGCCGCCGACCCGCCGACCGATTGGCGGGGTCGGCCTGGCGCATTTTTGTGCGGCCGCCACCCCCACCCCAAAGGCCTGTTTTTTGTGTTTTGGGCCGGTACTGGGGGGGTCGGCCGATCGGGACACGGCCTGGGAGGCCGCCGACCGTCGACACTGCCTTTTCCCTGGTCGGCGGGCAGTACAAAGAGTGTGCTTGCCCACACTCTTCCCATTCTACCGCCGTGGCATTTGTGGGCAGCCGTGAGTGTGGGCAGCCGCATTGCTCAGGCAGGGTGAGAAGAGTGTGGGCAGCTTGGTCGTAGCAGGGAGACTTGGCCATGGTGGGGGAGACAAGGCTGCAGCTCCGAGGTTGTCCTCTGCGACGTCGAACGGCCCCCTGTAACCACGAAATAGGCCCCCCTAACCCCCATGAAGACCCCCCATCCCCTCCCGACACACCCCTTGTGAAACAGTTATGC